TGGAAATTGAGAGTGATTTGTGAATTCAATTTAATTAAGTGAGTTCTGGTTCTTAACTCAGGTAGCTTAGGGTGAAGAAAACCTGGTTAAAACTGAGAGATTTGTGTATTTGTTTTTGCGGCAACTAAGTATAAACCGACCTTCATTTTGATTGCTGATTCTCAAGTTAAGTATATATGATTTTCTCTATTATTCTGCAATTAGTCTTTGTTAGAAACTAGAGTTTTATTTAGACTGACTTTGGGTTTCACTTTTGATTTCGTGCAGATGCTCGGGAATAAGATTAGTTGAGAGGGATGAGATAACTGCCATGCAGATCTATTATCGGCGGTCTGCATTGCACAATCAGAACCAGTTATCATCCATTTGTATCTTTTACCGTAATTGTCATTAGTGCCCTTTCTTTGAGAGGCGTTATCAGCTTTACTGATATCCCTTTCAGTTAAGTTGGTATCGTCGACCCATCATGCCCTACTATATACAGAGGCTTTACAGAACTTGTAAAGCGGCATTCTCGCCCAATGGGCCTGAATCAGAAGAAGCTGTGGAGAAGGTTCGAGCCATGCTAGGTATGATGAGATGATCCGTTTTGTTATATCTTGTTTAATTTCTGATCAGATTATGTCATTTATGGTGCCTGCTGTTTTGTGTTCTAGTGTTCGGCTGGTGTACTTTTTACTTTGTCTCAATGTGAATATCTCTATGCCTGTATAGTTGAGGTAGCAATGTACAAAGTCCAATACCAAATACTGTGCAGAGCAAAAAGTTGGTCTGACTCATGCTTAAAGGAAGAACAAAACCCAAAATAATTTGATAAAAGTGATTGCTCAAGTAAAATGTTGATGCAAAATACCAATGTATTTATGCTAATCCCTTCTTTCAGTTGTTAATTTCCCTTGATTGGGGAAAAAAAGGTCATCAGTGGCTTTTCTCGACTTACTGAGGGAAAAGAGAGAATATCTAAAGTTGAAAGTAGGACTTATGTAAAAATTCAAGAGAAGCTCCAAATGGCAAGAAATGGCTTTTAATTCAGTTTTCTAATTCTAGATTTGAAGTACTGATCAATTTTGCAAATTATACATGAGAGGAACATTTTAATCTTTAGCTTATTCTGGAATTTCAGTTTTTTGATAGTGAAAAAAGATTATATTAAAACAGAAAGATAATACAAGTAATGGAGGATAAGGTATCATAAAAGAAGACCAATCCAAACACCTACTCACTCAAATTCAGCTCTTCCCCTTGAAAATAGTCACATAGAATGAAAGAATACCTGTTTTAGGCTTCTGAACCAGAATGCATACAGAGAGACTTTCAAATCCTGGGGAGTAAATTTTATCTCCTTATCCTCAGATAGGTACCCTACATTTGGAAAAAAAAAGAAGAAATCCTCAAATAGTTACACATACTATCAACTTTGCCTTCTATTGTTTTGTCCATACTGCCCCTTCAGGGATAAAATTATTCTTGTATCCTTATGCAATTGCACACCTGCATGGATTTAGCAGTTTATCCTAGAGTACCATGTCACAGCAAGTTGATGTTGTTAAAGGCATGGGAGACCACTTGGACATGGCTACGCAACCTCTTCTTCCCCATTGATAGGAGGGGAAAGGAAGGAAAAGATAAAACTACTTGTTGCTTCCCCAATTCTGCTTAAATACAGGTTAGGTAGATGATTGCCAAGTAACAAAATATTGGAATAATTGTTGGATCTCAAACAATGATCAGCAGATATAGGCTCCTGTCTTTTTGCCTTCTGTTGATCCAACTTTCTATGGTTGCTTCAGCTATTCCTGGTGATATGATACTAAGGGGTTTTTCCATATATATTTCATAATATGTTTTATTTTCCAAAAAGAAGCTTATGTAGAATCTTTCACATGGCATTCCTAGTTGTTGAAATTTCATATGCTTGTGAGCTTATGATCTCCTATCTCATTTGTGTTCCTAAACTATGGTAAATTACACAAATCTTTTTTTTTTATATTTTTTTTTGGAAGAAACTTTTTTGATAATCTAATACTTTTGATCTTAAATGTATGTGCTTTTTTATGTAATGCAACTTTTTCAACTCATTAAGTCTTGAGTAGAAATATGGATTCAATTGCCTTTATTGCGTGCGGTATCATGTGTGGATTTGAAAAGACAATCAATTTCCTCTTTGCTCTAGTGATCGAGGTGGGTCTCTAGATGTTGCTAAAGTAGTTGAAGCTTTTTGTTTTTGTTAAATGATAGAATTGAATAGATTTTTCTAAAAGTTTAAGTTGATAGAAAATGGTTTTGTCTATTATTCATATATTACCAAATCTCCTCATGTCCAAGCCTGTTGGATTGGAAGCATGGTCAAAAACAAGTCCTCCATACATTGGATTGATATTTGTTTAACAAAAATTGGGCGGCTGTCAGGATTGAAACTACAGGCATCCTCCTTCTGTACCATGTTAAATAATAGAATTGAACCGATGTTGTAAAAGCTTAAGTTGATAGGAAAGAATATATGTAACAATTTTTAATGGGTGCAAGAATAGCAGCATCAACTTTTAGTGCATTATGTATTGTCTATATTTTAATTTTGCAGATCTTTGTCTTTGTTTTAACTGATATGGGATGAAATGAATAGATAGGCCTTTTGTAGGGATGAAAACTTTGCTACTTAGTTTCATAGACTAGTGCCGGCAATGTGTTACTTACAATATCGGAATTCTTTTGGACATAAATTATATTGATCTATGGAATTGGTGAAAAATTCTTTTTATACAAAAAGACTTATATTAGGTAAGAAAAGAGAAGAACTGTTCAGTACCTCATTATATCACTGGTACCTATTGTTTGGTGTATGCATGTCTTGAAGGTGCCACAGGTCTGTGCTCTATGAGAAATTTGAAGTCATATATACTCGAGAAGTTTTTCACTTTCTGTTTAGTCCACATTATCATGGCAATTTAGATTACTTTTTGCACAATTAGTGAATTTTTAACCCTAGGTGTAATTTTATTTCAGAGAAAATCAAGCCTTCTGATGTTGGTCTTGAGCAGGAGGCACAATTGGTACGTAACTGGTCACTACATATGAATGAACGAAATGGAAGCCACCAGACACTCCCACCAATTAAATACCTGCATTTGCATGAGTGTGACAGCTTCTCTGTAAGCATATGTTTTATGCACCATTATTTTACTAAAGTTGTTTTAGTGTCCAAAGCCTCAAGTTACACTTTGCTTATGGATTCTAATAGAGTTAAATAGAACGAATATTTGCCATAATCTTATGTGTAGAAATTTTGAAAGTTGAAGGCTGCTTTATAGAGGCTTATTAATTTTCACATAGAAAGCATCAGAATGCAAAATGTGCTCATGTTGGACTGTCTGTGGTAGATATTGAGTCACATCTATGAGAAGAATGCGACTAAGGAGATAAAAATCGTAAATGTTTAGTTAAATGTGCAAGGATTTGAAGATATTTCTTAAATAAAATGGATCTGCAATGATATTTGATAGAGTTGTCTCTAGTTTAGTTGATTCGCAAAGCTCTCACTTGGAATCTTCGTATATATCTAAATGATAAATGTCACGTTATCTACTTTGGCAATAGGATAGATGTCGTAGAAAATTGAAGGTCCATGATTGACATTACTTTTCATGTCAATATGTTGATTGCGGCCTGTTTCTTCACATTGGCTTTCTGTTCCTTTTCTCTTCTGATCTCTCTTTTAATTCTCGCTTTTCTTTTGTTAAATTATGAAGGGGCTTAAGTGTTGTGAAACATTAATATTAATGTTCTGATAAAAAAACCAATATAGAATTAAATTTTTAGGCCCAAAATTACAATGTTCATTGTTCTTTTATATTCAGATTAAAATCTTCTTCTGCACTTCATGGGGATTTTTTTCCAAAAAAAATTGTCATTATTTCTTACTTTTTTGGTTGTATTGCAGATAGGAATTTTCTGCATGCCACCTTCTTCTATTATACCTCTTCATAACCATCCAGGAATGACTGTGTTGAGCAAGCTTATTTATGGTTCATTACATGTGAGGTCATATGATTGGCTTGATTTACCTGAGCGAGAAGATCCACTACGAGGTGTGCATTCATAAATGCTGTAAACATCACTGCAATCCCTTGCCTTAAGAGCTTAAGCTGTATGTTGATGTACATTGTTCATTTCATTATGAATTAATTGATTTACTTCCTTTATTTCTTTTTGATAAATGAAGAATTGTTATGAGAAAAAGAATATAAGGAGGATAAGTGATCATCTTGCAGTTCTCTCAAGACCACAGACAAAGAAAAAGGAAAGCAGAACTAGAAGATAACAGTCTAGTCCTTTTGCAAAATAGTTAAAGAGGACCCCAAAAAGACCACAAGCCTTAACCCAAAAGATTCTGAAAAATCTATAAAGGTAATTGGAGTCGCCCTGAAAGCTATGGCATTCATTGCCAACTACAACATTTACAGCCACGAAAATAGTATCTTTTGATAATATTTTCCAATCATTGTTTCTACCAAAAATTGCACAAAAAAGGGAAGAAACAAATACTATGGGGAATGGGGCAAACCCAGCTCGCAAAAAGATTTCATGAAGCCATGTCCATAATCTCCGAGCCTCGTCACAGATGTGAAAAAGTGGCTTATCGAGATTAATACTGAGGAAGGAGAGGTCGAACAATTAGCTGATTCAGTAGAATTCACCAACCTAAACTGGCCCATCATGTATCTAGGCCTCCCGCTGGAAGGCAACTCTATGGATAGAAGTTTCGGGGATGCGGTAGTGAACCAGGTGTCCAAGTAGTTGGTTTGTTGGAAAGGTGGGTTGTTTTTCTCTAGGAGGAAGGACACTCTTATTCAAGCCTGTCTGTTTCACGGATGTTGTTTATGACGCCTGTGGGGGTAAAGGAGAGAATTGAGGGGCCTATGCATTGTTTCTTATGGATAGAGGCGAGGGAGGAGAACTGGATCACCTGGTGAGTTGGGAGGTTTGTTATCAGTCCAAGAGTTCAGGGAGGTTGGTATATTGCAAAAATTTATCTTTTTTGGCATAATAGCTTTGGTGCTTCCAACAGGAACCACTGTTATTGGCACATAGTGATCAACAGTATTCGAAGGGGTGGCGGAGGTGGATGGTATGCCTTAATAAGGGGGTTTCTAACAGTGTCGTTGGCAAAGCATATCCTACGGACACCTATTGTTCATTTCCTTCACCCATCTAAAAGGTGGGAGATGGTTCTAGGGTCTTGTTTTCGAAGGACACATGGATTGGGTTCATCCATTAGCTAGCCAATCTCCCGATTTGGGTATTGGAACTTATGGGTCAATATACTTGTAACTCCTTCGTTGATCACCTTACTAATCTTCCAACATCCAACCATCACATTGTTGCGAAAGACTTTTGGGAAGCTCCAGGTCTGTCAAGGGTAAGGGTATTTGCATGGATAACCATTTATCGAAGGATTAACACTGATGAGACGTTACAAATTTGTCAGCTTAACTGAGTTTTGTCTCATGATATACATTATGTGTTACAAGGGAGGAGAGACTCATTTTTGTTTATTCATTCACTGCGAAATGACATAGAAGTTGTAGATAAGATTAATCAATTGGTTTGGTTTAAGCTGGGTGAGTCCTCCTACAGTAGAGAGCTTTATGAGATTGTGTTTTCTAGGTTGGGGTAAGGAAGTGGTAAAGCCACTAGTGCAATTGAATCTCTTTTCTGGCTCATTGAGTATATGGCTCGAGAGAAGCAGCAAGATATTTCAGGACCACTACTTGTCTTTCCATGAGCTGTGTGAAAAGATAACATTCTTGGCCACCTTATAGGCCAAAGCTCATGAGAATTATTCCGATTTAGTGATTTCTGAGCTCCATCAAAACTGAGGATACGATCCTTTTGTTATCATAAGGGTTTTCAGTGTTTGCTTTTTCTAGCTGCTGTTTTTTTTCTCTTACATTTATTATGGAGGATGTCTTATTATTCGCATATGTATTTGTTCTTCTCAATTCCTATAATATTTATTTTCTGTAAAAAAAAAAAGGAGCTGGTAGACTTGAGAGAGTTCAATATATGTAGGAAGATAGGTCATTGGTTTTTGTAAAAACTGAGGTCGTCGGTGATTGGTTTTTCTTAAGGGAATTGATTGGTGCCCTATAAGTGGTTAAAGAGCTAAATGTTGGGGAAATATTTCGTAGAAAAGGGGTGAGGTTTTGTGGGCACTAGAACAGGATAATGCTAGTGGTCAAGAAGGTTTCTTTATCTCTTTCTTTTAGAATTTTTGGTGTTTTGTTAAGGGTTATTCAATTAAGGTGATTGAGGAATTCTATCCTAGTGGTAAGATTGAGAAGAATGTGACTTATATTTTATGACCATGTTTGCTAAGAAGGATAGGTTTATTAAAGTAGCTGATTTTTTTTATCTAAAAAAATTAAAATAGCTGATTTCCCATGCTATTAGTCCTAGCTTGTTGTCTAGGGATGATCATAAAGTTAATCTCTCTGGGGCATTGGATGATACTACTGTTATTAATAAAAGTACCTTTGTGGGGGTAGGCAGATCCTTAATGCTTCCCTTATTGCTATTGAAGTGGTTGAGGGGATGTGAAAAGGTCTAAGAATAAAAGATTGGTTTTTTAAAATAGACATAGAAGGCTTGTGATAGGATCAATTGGGACTTTTTGCATGAAGTCGCATCAAGGAAAGGCTTTGGTGAGAGGTGGAGAAGGTTGATTTCCTGATGCTTTTCCTCATTGTACTTTGTTATTATCATAAATGGTGAACCCAAATACCAATAGAGGGCGGGGTTTTTTTTCTCCCTGGGGGGTGGGGGTTTG